CTTGTCTCCAAGTCCAACACTATCCGTTATTTCTAGTTACTTGTAATGACATGGCTTTTTATATTTAGGTCCTGGCCCCCCTTGAAGCTCTCTTTCATGGCCCTGGTCTGGACTGGGGAGATGGGCCCAGACTTTGCCTTCTGCCTCAATCTCTGGGTTCTGCCTTTGTCCCCTGGCAGTCCAATATAGTTGCTGACTTCAGCTCTGTCTTTGTCTAACTCCTTGTGCAGTTATCTACTAGGAAGGGGCTTTTTCCACTAGTATGGCACAAATAGGTCTTGAATAGATATTTGAAATCTGTGCTGAGTACAGGCCTGTTGGGCCCCGAATATGGGTTGGTGGGCACCTCTTCCCAGGCTTCACTACCTTGTTCAGTTACCTGTTGAGAGTTGGCCCTACCCCAGGTGCAGTCCTGGAAAGATACTGAAATGCATGCTGGGTTCACACCTTTTATAGGACCATGTGGCACCCTACTCAGATACCTCAGCCCCTCTATTTTCGTGCATATTCACCTACTAAGGAGCTGCCTTTGCTCCTGATAGAGCTCTGATTGAGCAGACTTGATATCCTGCTGTATTTAGGTCTCATTTTTCAGAGATTATTCTGGCTTCCCCCTCTCTCTCCCTTTTTTTTTTCTTTTCTTTAGGCAATTGGGATTAAGTGACTTGCCCAGGGTCACACAGCTACTAAGTGTCAAGTGTTTGGTCTAAGGCTGGATTTGAACTCAGGTCCTCCTGACTCCAGGGCTGGTGCTCTATCCACTGTGCCACCTAGCTGCCCCTTGGTTGTTGTTGATGAGTCATTTCAGTAGTGTATGACCTTCATGACCCCATTTGGGGTTTTCTTGGCAAAGATACTGGAATGGTTTACCATTTCCTTCTTCAGCTCATTTTACAGATGAGGAACTGAGACAAACAGGATTAAGTGACCTGCCCAGGGTCACACAGCTAGCAAGCGTCTGAAGCCTGATTTGAAATCAGGTCTTCCTGAGTCCAGGCCTGGTGCTCTATCCACTGTACCACCTACCTGCCCCTAGGACGTATTTTGGGGTCTATTGAAGAAGCAATCTCCTTCCCATTGGACCTTTACTATCTAAGTAACTCATTGGTTTTGTCCTTCAAGTAGGATGCTGCTCAGGAACTCTGTGGTTTGTCCTCTTCCTTCTCTAAGGAGCATGATACATCAGGAAATTTCCTTTTCTTCTAGAAGATCTGATATCTGACCTCTGGAACTTGGGAATTGAATTTGGGGTTACCCACAAGACAACTCTCAAGGTTGGGACTCCTCTCTTTGGCCAAGTGGGCCTCTTCCAAGTGTTTCTGCAGAAAAATCTCTCAGTACCTGTGTGCTCTGGAACTGGGAAAGTCCACTTTCAAGATCTCTCCTCTCACGCCATGTGCAAGCAAGTACAACCCTTAGGTATCCCTGCCCAGGGCAGCCATTTTCAGTTCCTAGGGAAAGGGGAGTCTTCAATTGCACAAGTTTCCCTCCTGTGAGAATATTGTATTTATACTTCCTACCTCAGAGCTGTGGTGAGGAAAGTGTTTTATTCACTTTAAATATATACATGCAAATTGTTTATTCACGGAGAAGATGGAAGCATGGCCAGGTAACAGAGTGTGGCACAGCTCTGTTAAAAAAAATGATGTCAGGAATGCTAAAGCTCAGAATAAGCTAAGGCTGGTAAGGGAAGCTAAGAATGACAGAAGGTGTTTTGGTTTGTTTATTTTGAAAACTATATTGGGAGAAAAGGGAAGATCAGAGTGGAGAGAGCCTTTGCTTGGGGTGGATGGAGCAATGATCTCTGACAACAGTAAGTTGGAGGTGCTCAACTAACTTTGTTTCTCTTCTCTGCCGAGGATAATTTATTTTTATCTAGAAGTGACAGAACAAAAATGGCTGTTAACAGGGAATTGATATTTAAGATAAATAAGGAGATAGTAAGAGAACATAAAACTTCCCCTGAATTCAAGCTGCCTGGCCCAGATAAACTGGATCAGCAATGAAAGAATTGGCATGTTTGATTGCTTAGTCACCATTAGTAATATTTGAAAGATCATAGAAAAGAGGACTGGAGAAAAGATTAATGTTGTCTTATTTAAAAAAAAAAGAGAGAGAGAGAGAGAAGAGGACAAAATCTGCAAACTAGAGGCCAGGGAGTTTGACTTTGATTCCTGAGAAAATTCTAGAACAGATCGTTAAAGTGATGGTTGGGGAACATCTGGAAAGGGAAGTGATGATGGCAAAGAATCAACCTGGTTTCAAGAGCTAACCTCATTTCCTTTTTTGACAGGGTTACTAAACTAATAGATAAGGGGGATTCTGTGGATATAGTTTGCCTAGATTTTAGTTAAGTTTTGGATAAAGTATCTCATACTATTCTTGTAGAAAACATGGTGAGGAATGAACTAGATCAGTAGTCCCTAACCTATTTCAATGTCATCGATCCCTTTGGGAGTCTGATGAAGCCTATGGACCCTTCCTCAGAGTGTTTTTAAATGCATAAAATAAAATACATATGATTACTAAGGAAACCTAAGGTTAGCAGAAATAGAGGGTTTTTTTCCCCCATAGAAGTTCAGGGAACCCCTGAAATTTATCAGTGAATCCCTTGGGTGGTCCATGAACTCTAGGATAAGAATCCTTGAACTAGCTCAGTGGTGTCGAACTCAAATTGACATAGTGGTCACTAAGTCACATGTAAGGATCCCTGCAAGCTGCATATTGACTTAGAAAATGATACTTGTTTATATTTTTCTTCTTCTTATTAAAACATCAGCACATTAAAATCAGATAAGAACTACATTTTAATCTGGTTCAGGCAATACTCAGAAGTGTTGTGGGCCATATGTAGCCTGTGGGCTATGTGTTTGACACCTCTGAACTGGGTGATATTACAATTAAATTGATTCAGAACTAGTTAGATGTCATTGTGTCAGGAGGTTTCCAGTGGAGTACCCCAGGGATCTATGCTTGGCTCTAACATTTTTATGAATGACTTGTGTAGATTGGGCATGACATGGATTGCTCCCCTCCTTTCCCCTTAACACATTCTTTCAATCTCTCTGTCTCTCTCTCTGTCTCTCTCTTCCTCTTTGTCTTTCTCTCTCCACAAGCAGTTTTATGTGAAGGGATATGTTTCTTTTCAAGGTGATTTTTATCAGTATTCTACACACAAATGTTCTTTTTCTGTCTGTTTATGGTGATCAAAATGTCCACATCACAAAGAGTCAGTAAATTATACTTGAATAAAGGCACAGGTGGCATGTTCATCAAACTTCAGATGATACAAAGCTGGGAAGGATGCTAACACAGTGGATGCTAGAATCAGAAGCTAAAAGAATCTTGACAGGCGTAGCATTAGGCTGAATCTAATGAAATGAAATTTAGTTGAGATAGATGTAAAGTCTTACACTTGAGTACAAAAAAAATCAACTTGACAAGTCCCAGATATAGGAGGCAATAGTCTACCTCTGTTAGAACATATCAGGAGTATTATGTCCAGGTCTGGTTCCTATGGTTTCAGAAGCTGGAGAAGGTCCAGAGTAGGGCAACTAGAATGGTGAAGGACTGAGTTTATATCATATGAGGACTGGTTGAAAAAGCTGGATGGTTTTAACCCAGGGAAGAGAAAGCTGAGGGTAGAGGATGGGGACACATAATAACTGTCTTCAAGGGAGATAAGACTAGCTTAGTTTGACCTCAGAGGATAGAGCCAGGACCATGGGTAGGAGTTGTCATGAGGTGACTTTAGGCTTGATATCAGGGAAAAAAAATTCTAAATTAGAGCTGTCCCAAAATGGAATGGGAGGGGTGGTATATTCCCCCTCCTTGGAGGTTTCCAAAAAGAGACTGAACTACCACTTACTGGGCATGTTATGGTGAAGATTTGAATGTGGCTGCAAGGGCCACAACAGCTTGAGTGAACTTGGAGGCTCCCTGTAAGGGATGTACTTAAGCAGGACAGGCAATGTGCTGTAATGTAAAGAGCGCTGTCTCCAGAATTCGTGTCTAGCCTCTCTGATCTTTACTGCCTTTGTGACTTTGGGCAAATCACTTGACTTCCCGGTGTCTCATACTTTCATCATGTATAAATGACGATGTTGGACTGGATGACTTCTCAGGTCCCTTCATGCTCTAAAGCTGAGATCCTATGATGCTTATAACAGCCCTATGTTAGATAGTGCTGGCATTATCACCCCCAATTTATTTATTTACTTTTTTTGTGAGGCAATTGGGGTTAAGTGACTAGCCCACGGTCACACAGCTAGTAAGCTAGTATCTGAGCCCGGATTTGAACTCAGGTCCTCCTGACTTCAGGGCCAGTGCTCTATCCACTGCACCACCTAGCTACCCCTACCCCCAATTTATTGATGAGGAAACTGAAACTTAGAGTGATTACTTGCCTTACTTATCCTGGTTAAATGGCTATGAGATGGTGATAACCAGTGTCTTTTCACTCTAAATTCTGTGCCTTTTCTACTTCATTGGTATGTAGCCTACCTCCTTATTTATCTGTTTTGTGAGTTTTCTGAAAACAAGCTATAAATAGATTTCCAGTCACTCTTCAAAGTCAAACAGTGAATCCAGTTTAATTATTTTACTCCTCAGGGACCCTTTAGGGGAAGGCAGTGAAGCTTAAAATCCATGAAATATCCCAGCCATGATTTATATTTAGGATTTATATTTATATCAGAGACTAGTAGAAAGTAGGAAGTACTTGGTATAATGCAAAACCAGAACCTAACAAACCTTTGAGTTCAACTTATAAAAAAGTTTGACAACTTGTTGGACTGTTATGTGTATATAGTTGTCCACTGATAGAGATTTGGTGAGTGGATGGCAGAAAAGGGAACCAGGAATTATTGATTTCATGGGGATGTGTTCTCCCTCCTCCCTTCCCCCCACCCCAATACACACAAAGGAACTTTCCCCCCTGCCACCACTCCTTATTCCTTTGGCAGCAAGCTGCATAGTTTCTGAGCCAATTCTGTTTTCAGGGAAGTCAGATGACCCTGTTCCCTCTTCCCAGTAACTCTCAGCCGGTCCCTGCCCCTAAGATTGAGACCATGGGTTTCCTGCATGCTCTCTTACTGCTGCCCCTGTATGCAGGTAAGGAGGATGGGGAGAGGGAAGTAAAGATCATGAAGATCTCACTGGGAAAGGGGGAGAGGAAGGCTAGTGCTCTTCAGGCTGGGTACTCCCAGGGGTGTCTTCTTTTTCTTTTTTTATCTTTCTTTTTAATGCCCCTCTCTCTGTATCTGTCCCCACAGGCTTATCTATCACTGCTCCCTCCTGTTCCAGGAATGTGAAGATTTTGGGTGGCAACTTCACTCTCAGCAATGGTTGGGCCCCAGGAAGCCTCCTCACCTATACCTGCCCTCTAGGGCGCTACCCATACCCTGTGTCGACTCGGTTGTGCAACAGCAATGGGCAGTGGAAGTCCCTAGGAGCCTCCGAAGGCACCAAGGCAATATGCAAATGTGAGGGGACAAGTGTTTTGGCCGGGTGTGGTGCAGACTCAGCCACCTTTCAGTTCTGACTATCCCCTGGCTCTCTCTTCTGAGTGCCCACTCCTGCCCCTCGACTTTTCCTTGGCCCTGCTCGTGACAGCTATGGCTTATTGCCGGGACCTAGGCACCCTGTTTCCCTGAAGGTCTCCAACTGTCCTCCCAAGCATGTTCTGCTTTCCTGTAGCTGAGTTCAGTGAAGTATTGATTAAATTCCATCTTTGTGTCCAGCACTGTGCTAGTGTGTCAACAATCCCTCCCTTTGCCCCAGCTTATACCATTCTTTTCTCTCCCCAGTTGTGCGCTGTCCAGCTCCTGTTGCCTTTGAGAATGGGGTCTACAGTCCCCGGCTGAGCAGTCACCCTGTGGGTGGTAATGTGAGCTTTGAGTGTGAGGATGGATACATCTTGCGTGGTTCTCCCATGAGGCGCTGCAGACCCAATGGGATGTGGGATGGAGAGACGGCTTTATGTGACAATGGAGGTGACTGTCTAGGAGCACCTATGATCTGGGAGGGGCAGAGAGGAAAAGCCACGTGCTTGAGTGACTCCGTAGGAGAACCTGGGAGCGGGGTGTATCTGTGACTACTGACACTGCAATTTGGAAATTCTTCGAAGCAGTTCTACTGAGGGTTCGCAGATTCTTAGTTCTGCTTTTCTTTAGCTCCATGGTGCTGGATATGACACAAGGGAAGGGTTTGTTTGCTTCTGGATACCAAAGGGTCAGATATGGAGTTGTAGGTGTAACAATAACAACTCACATTTATATGGTGTTTTAGGGTTTGCAAAGTAAAGTATCTCCAAGGAAAATATCTGGGGTTCTAGGCTGCCCAAAGAACTATGGCTCTCCTTAAGTTAAGGAGAAGGTGTTGGCCTGTTGCATGGAGACATTGGTTTTAAATGTAGGTGAAGCAAGTGGTCATGTAACCCATGTGACATGACTTGAGAAGGCATCAGCCTTCCTGTCCAAAAACATCAATCTCCCTACAAATCTTCCCACCGTTTTAGCTTAATGGCTTTGGGCCTTGAAGACTTTTGTTTGGGAGTCCTCTAATTAAGTGCAAAAAGGGAGTGGGCATTAAAAGCTTTATGCACAACTATCTTAGGTATCAACTAATACCTTAGTGGATGGCCATGCAAGAGCAAAGGACTGAAGAAATGAGTGGACACAGAATAGTAACTGATACAAGAGTGTGTGGATCCAGGAGAGAAGGAAAGGTTTGCTGAAGTTGCCGGGAGGGCATTAGATATAAACTTCCTCTCGCTCTTGGTTTTGTCTGGGTTTGCCCAGCTGTCTTGCTTTGGCTTACACACAACTTACATGTATTTCTAAGTGTATGGTTATAAAAATGTTTTCTATACACGAGGCAATGTGGCATAATGGAAAGAGCAATGACTCTAGAATTCAGATCCAGCTTCTCTGATCTTTACTGCCTGTGTGACTTTTGGCAAGCCACTTAACTTTCCTGTGTCTCATTCCTTCCTTATGAGTAAATGAGGGACTGGAGATGACTTCTGAGGTCCCTTTGCACTCTAAAGTTGTGATCTTATGATCCTTATAATAGCCCTATGGAGTTACATATTTCCAGATGTGGGTTTAGGTGTCTCAAGAGACAGCATATGGACACTTACAGAATTGTAAGGGAGATTAAGGAGGAGAAGGGGAAAAAAAAAGAGAATGAGAGAGGGATATGGAATTTAGGGCTGTCCATTTTTCTTTCTTCTCTACCTACAGCCGGGCACTGCCGAGACCCCGGAATTCCAATCGGGTCTGTGAGGACAGGATACCGATTCAATGTTGGTGATCGGGTGAAGTATCGTTGTTCAGAGAAGCTGATCTTGGTAGGGTCTGAGGAACGAGAGTGCCAGGCGAATGGGGTCTGGAGTGGGACTGAACCCATTTGCAGATGTGAGTAGCAGGTCTCTACCATCTCCTCAGACCAACAAGAAACCCTCACCTGCGCATAACAATTCATAGTTTACAAAGCATTTTCACATCTTATTTATGTCCATTTTAAAGGTGTAGAGACAAAGGCTCAGAGGGGATGGTACTTATCAGAATGGTAAGACCAAGACTTAAACTCAGGTCTTCTAATTTCAAGTTCTGTTCACTGCATCCCACTGGCCTCCTCAAAACCAGAAATCCCCCCTCCCACCAACACATCATTCCTATAATCATGAGTTGAACACAAGTATCCCCTTTTCTAAGGGCAGCTAGGTGGCATAATTGATGGAGTGCCAGGTCTAGAGTCAGAAAGACTCATCTTCCTAAGTTCAAATCTGGCCTCAGACCCTTACCAGCTGTGTGAACCTGGGTAAATCCCTTAACCCTGTTTGCCTCAGTTTCTTCATCTGAAAAATGAGCAGGAGAAGGAAATGGCAAACCAATTTAGTATCTTTGCCAAGAAAACCCCAAATGGGATCACAAAGAATTGGACACAAGTAAACAACAAAATCCTTCATCCCCTGCAGCTTCCTACTCCTATGATTTCCCTGAGGATGTGGCCCCAGTCCTGGACACTGCCTTTTCTCAAGTCCTTGGTGCCACCAACCCACTGATGCAAAAATCAGGTATGAGCTAGGGAAGGGGGCAGGGTAGGGCTGAAGGGGATGGAGAGAAGGTGAGCCTGAGGGAAAGGGGGTGGTATTGGCCTAGAATCCAGCAGCAGAAGGCCCAGCTTGAGGGCATGAGTAGAAGCTAAAAGGGCAGTCTTGGAGAAGAGAGCTATGTTCTCAGGAAAGGCAGGGGAGGAGTGGTATAGCTGGAGGGCCTGTAGGACATAAAACTATGAGGTGATATTTAAATTTATTACAGAAGAGCTTCCCAGCCATCTCAGGTCTGGAAGGTTGGAGTTGGGGCTCTGACCCTTCCTTCTCTTCTGCATTACACAAGTCCCCTCTGTCCCATTTTTCTCCCAGGCAATTTGGGCCGGCGTATCCAGATCCAGAGGTCAGGCCACCTGAATCTCTACTTGCTCCTTGATTCTTCCCAGAGTATCAGTGAAGAAGACTTTGGCATTTTCAAAGAGAGCGCTCGACTTATGGTAGACAGGGTCAGGAACTGGGGTCAAGATGGACCTCATATTGTCTGTCTCTCTTCTTTTGAAATATAACTTAAAACCTGCTTCCACCAGGAAACCTCTCAGATGGGGCTCAAGTCAATCTCATCCCTCCCACAGCCATTATGGACTCCCATGTAAACAATTTTATTTTGTTTTGGTTTTTTGTTTTGGTTTGTTTTGTTTTGTTTTTGCTAGGCAATGGGGTTAAGTGACTTGCTCAGGGTCACACAGCTAGTAAATGTCTAGTGTCTGAGGCCGGATTTGAATTCAGGTCCTCCTGACTCCAGGGTCGGGTGCTCTATCCACTGCGCCACCTACTTGCCCCCAACAATTTTATTTTGAATGTTCATTGGCACATTGTATGTATTCTCAAGTTATCTCTTGCCTCTGTGTGTGTGTGTGTGTGTGTGTGTGTGTGTGTTTTCAGCTAAACCATTCAGAATATCTAATTTAATGCTCTTCACATGGTGTGCTTAGTGAACATCTGTTAACTCATTCACTAACATTGACGAAATTACCATGTTGGACTAAGGTCCCTTCCAGTCCTGACATTCTATGGCTCTGCGTCTCTGCCCATCCTTCTGTTTTGGGTTTCATTTCTTTGTGCCTCTCTCCCTCTCCCTTACATCCTCCCTCACCCCCTCTCCCTCTCTCTCTTTCTCTTTCTCCCCTTCCCTCCTTCCTCCCTTCCTCTCCCTTTTCTCCCTCTCTCTTTCCACTCCTCTCTCCCTCTTTCCCTCCTTCCTCCACCTCCATCCTTTTTCTCTCTATTTTGTAGGTTCTCATTATGTTCTCTTCCCCTCTGGCTCATCCTCCCACAGATCTTCAGCTTTGATATCAACGTCAGTGTTGGCATTGTCACTTTTGCTAAGACTCCCAAAGTCATCTTGTCCGTCACTAGCAAGAGTTCCCGGGAAGAGACTGAAGTAGTCAAAAAGCTGGAGGACATCAAATATGGAGGTGTGGGGTGGGGAGGTTGAGAGGAAGGGAGGAGGAAAAGGGGAGGTGCTGCCTTCAGATGGGAAAGATTGAGAGCGCAATTGAGGTTCTGGTTCTGTATCCCCGTCTCTACTAGAAAAGTTTTGGACTAGACAAAGGAAAAGCATTGTTTCTCAATAGAATGTCATGAGATTCCAGGTGCTCTGGTTCCTCAGTGGCCATTGGGGATAGTATGGTCTTAGCTTCCAAATCCAGGCTCTATTTGTTAGGGATGTTATAGAAGAGGTTTCCTCCCAGGTGCAGTAGAAAACAGATGCCATCTGAGGTCCCCAACTACTTTGACATTTTGTGATTCTATGTATTTCTGCTTTCACCTCCTTCATGTTTGACCTAAATAGAATGAATGAAGGAAGGAAGGAAAGAAGGAAGGAAGGAAAAAAGGAAGGGCAAAGGAAGATCAGAGAAAACTTCAGTAGTAGGTAGCCACTGAGTTAGGCTTGGAAAGAAGGGAAGAATTCAGTAGTTGGAGATGGGGGAGTCCATTTCAGGCATTTCAGGTGTCTAAAGAGGGAGAGAGGAGTGGAAAGAGAGAAATGAAACCCAGCATTGTGTCAGCAAAGGTACTAGGTGTCTTTGGGAAAAGGTGGTTCAGGCTGACTGTGGAACTTTATGTTCCCTGGACGTGGCAGGTCAGGATTGTCTGAGTGGGCAGTATGCCATAAGGCTAGGTTCCTATCAGTTGAAGCTAGATTATGTAGAACATTGAATCCCAGGATCAGGAGTTAGTAACAGCTCACATTTATATAGTACTTTACAGGTATAAAGCATTTTATATCCATTTTTTCACTTGGTTCTTCCCCTGTTGGGTAGGTCATAAATTTATTAATATCTTTTACAGATGAGCAAAGTGTCTTGCTGAAAGTCAGGCAGCTAATAAAAGTCCCAAGTGGCACTTAAATTCAAATCTTCTGACTCCAAGTCTAGTACCCTCCCTATCTACTAGGCATTGCTACCTAAGAGACTACAGGACACCATATTGGGATCTCTGGGTTTTGTTTTTTTTCATGACTCTGGGCAGTGGCAGTTATGTAATAAGTAGTTAGTTCGGTGTTCAACTATGAAGAGGCCCTTGGTTTTTGAGTGGGAGATGGAATTGGAGCTCTGCCAGGACCACAGGGTTCTAAAAGTCACTGAGCAGCACCTAGAAGAGCATTTCTTACTGCTTAATGACTTCCTCCCCAGGTATGGGAGGTAGGAGTTGTCTGAGGGATTTTCTCCCTTTTGCTGATTCCAGACCCAGACATTGGAACTGGAACTAACATCTACAGAGCCATGAAGCAAATCTATGACATGATGAATAATGAAATGGTCAGAAGGCAGAAGGAGTGGGAAGAAATTCGACATGCCATTATCCTTTTAACAGATGGTAAGTGGTACCTGGATGTCAATGGACCTTAGAACTCAGAACACGGGGAGGGGCCAGAAGCAGGGAGAGGTACGGATGTGTTTAAATGAGAAAAAATCAAGGGTCGCAGTGAGTGAAGAAGAACCTTCTAGCGATAGTGAGATTTGAGGATGTTTCCAGGACTCCCAGACCTACTTAGGAATTCTCCCTCTATTTTCCCACTCTCAGGAGATCCATGAGCACCATATAAACTAACTTTTCTCACTCCTGTTACAATAATCAATCCACCAACAAGTATTTATTAGGCACCAACTGTGTGTTAGGCTCTCTGGGATTTGGCAGCTATGTGGGGGATGGGGTGGAGAGGGTGGAGTCCTGAGACAAGGATACCAATGAGGAGGCGATTGTAACAGTCCAGGTAAGAGGTAATGACAGCCTGAAGTGGGGTGGAGGCTGTGTGAGTGGAGAGTTATTAGTAAGAGCTCAAAGTTCTAGAATACTTCAACACAGTTAGGCCTGGTCAGTGCTTTTCCTCACCACAACTTTGTGAGGTGAGAGGTGCTTATTTTATGGATGAAGGAATTGAGAAGTGACTTGTCCAAAGACATAAAACTGGCATTTTTAGGAGTAGGGATATGATCTCAGGTGTCTAAATCCAGATCTTCTTCTACTATGCTGTGCTGCGTTTCGTCCCTGTTGTAGGAAAGTCCAACATGGGTGGATCTCCAAAAGCAGCTGTAGACCTGATTGAAGAAGTGTTGAACATAAAGGCAGACAGGAAGGATTATCTGGGTGAGTGCCCCATTTCTGCCTCTAATCACTGCATCCTTCCAATACGCTATTTTTGCATGGAGTTCCTGTCACTTTACAAAGGACATCTGTGATTGTGTTTTATGGCCAGAGGTGGCCATAGGACAAATAATTCTGAATACTTTGATGGGTCAATTCAATTCTTTTTTTTTTTTAAATTGAGAACCTACTGTGTTTAAAATATATATTCTCCTCCATCTCTCAGTGGGAGTTACCCCTCCTTCAGGGTTTAACTCAGATTCTGTTTCCTCTTTGATCACTGCAGCAGAAAGTTTTTGCTCCTCAGATATTCCTAGACCACTTTGTTTGGATCTTTTCCTTGTCCTTACCCTATGATATACCTCCTTTGGTATGTCCTCACAATCTTCACCCTTGGGCCTCATATAAAACTGTGGCCAAGACTCTGGTGAATTTATTGTGGAGTAGGATCATTGGATCCAGAATTTGAAAAACTAGCCTCAGAGACCACTTAATCCAACTCCTTTATTTTCTGGAATAGGAATCTTAGGTCCATGGAGGTGAAAGGACTTTCCAAAGACAATGAAAGTGGTGATTAGTGGAACTGGGATTCAAATCTCGATCCCCCAGCTCTAATGCCTGTATTCTTTCCATTTCACCATTCTGTTTCTGTAACTATTATGTGGCATGGTAAATAGATCACTGGGTTAGGAGCCAGAAGAACATGAGGTCAAATACGGCCTCAGATTGTTGCTAGTTGTGGGACCCTGGACCATTCACTTAACCTCTGCCTGTCTCAATTTCCTTATCTGAAAAGTTGGGGTTAATAATAGCACCTATCTCGAAGGGTTGTTCTGCACATAAAATGATTTAATATTTGTTAAGCACTTTACAAACTTTCAAATGATATATTGTTGTTGGTGTTGAGTCATTTCAGTCATGCCCAACTCTTCATGACCCCATTTTGGGGTTTTCTTGGCAAAAGATACTGGAGTGGTTTGCCATTTCCTTCTCCAGCTCATTTTACAGATGAGAGAACTGAGGTAAACAGGGTTAGGTGACTTGCCCAGGGTCACACCACTGGTGGGTGTCTGAGGCTGGGTTTGAAGTCATGAAGATGAGTCTTCCTGATTGCAGACTTGGCACCCTATCCACTGTACCATCTAGTTGGCCAAAATGATATGTTAAAATTAGCAGGCATTATTTTAAATTATACTTGTATTAATTATTATATGCCATATTGTACATAATATAATATGATATATGTTATATTATATATTATTATGCTATATGTATATATTTTATTATTGTATATTATATGTTAAACAATCATATAATGATATATTGGGCATATATTATATACAGTTATATCAATTATATCTACATGCCTATATTATAATAAACTTACATATTTATATCATATATGTGATTGTATATGATGCATATATCCCTGCATTATAATTCCTGTAATAGAAAAAAGCTAGAAAGGACTTTAAAAGTAAAATAAATAAATAAATAAATAATGAAAACAAATCTGGCTTCAAGCACTTACTAGCTGTGTGACTCTGAGCAAATCACTTAACCCTGTTTGCCTCAGTTTCTTCATCTGTAAAATGAGCTAGAGAAGGAAATGGCAAACCACTCCAGTATCTTTTGCCAAGAAAACCCCAAAATGGGGTCATAAAGAGTTGGATACAACTGAAATGACTCAACAAAACAACAGAGATAGAAAAATAGAAATAAAACATCAGGACAAAGTGCATATATATGATATATGAATGGAAATTATGTGCAGGGCCAGCCTGGGTGGTACCCAAATTTTCTAACCTAAAGCTTTGTCTAAAGTTCCCCTGAATCTAGCTGAACCTTGGTGATACTCCCTAGTCTGAGATCATGTGCCATTGCAGCTAGCTCCCTCAAGAATACCAAACAAATTAATGATTTGCATACCAGAATACCACAAGTTGATTTGCTATTTGCAGACTCTTGCCCTGTCTGGAATTTGTCTATTTACCATCTCAAACTCACTCTCAATCACTGAGGATACTTTCTGGTCCCTTGGGAGTTTTTGATGTTTCACTCACATTCCTAGTCACTTGGATAATGAGGTGTCTCCTCCCTTCTGCCCTAAAGGGGTTTGGGCTGGGGCATGAAGAGCCCTCCCAGCTAGTCTTTCTCTTCACCCAGAAAACAATAACTCAGCACAACTGTCATTCCTTAATTTCACACACACAAAAAAAGGCACCTTAAATTAAGCTTGTAACTTCTAGTACCCAAAGCTGTATCTTGGAGCTTGTTACTTCCAAGCACACCAGTAGCCTGCTATGGGCAGCCTCCTTTATCCCTTCCTTGGCAGCTGCATGGTCCAAGAATTTTGAGTTCTATTTTCTGCTTTCCACCAGATATCTATGCCATTGGTGTGGGGAAACTGGATGTAGACTGGAAAGAGCTGAATGAGCTGGGGTCAAAGAAGGATGGGGAGAGGCATGCCTTCATTCTCCCAGACGCCAAAGCCCTCCTCCAGGTTTTTGAGAATATGTTGGGTGAGTGAACTCCCCCTCCCAGGACCCAAAGCCCAAGTGGTCAATATGTGATATGTGAGCCAAATGTGTCCCAATCCCCCTTCTGCCCATCTCAAACTGCCCTCTCCCGCCCCTTTCAGGTGTTTGAGATTGCTTACAAAAAGTTTTTTTTTAACCTAATTAGATAGCTCTGATGAGCTAGTAGCCCCTAAGACCTAACAACCTGACTACTGATACCACTAAGTGACTGACTCCCCTGCCACCCCCCTCCCCCGCTTCCTTATACCCAGATGTCACTCACAATAGCAGGCCTAGATAACTTACTGATTATAACTGTAAAAAAAGTATGGAGCATGCACATACAGAGATTTCTGTATGCATTACTATTAGAAAAAAAAATGTTCAACATTAAGTTGGGAAAAGGACCCTTTTCAATTATCTCCTTTCCATAATATCCAAATATCTCTTCACTCTTTCATCTTGTTCACAGATGTTTCCAAGTTTGTGGACACCATCTGTGGTGTGGGAAATATGTCAACCAATGCTTCATCCCAAGAGAGGACACCCTGGCACGTCACCATTAAGGTAATGGCCAGATTCAGAATTGGGTGTGCATGTAGGGGTAGAGAGAGTAAGGGGCTAGACAGCAGGGTCCCTAAAACTGACATGGTTCTCTCCTGTAGCCCAGCAGCAAAGAGACATGCCGTGGGGCACTTATCTCTGATCAATGGGTACTGACTGCAGCCCACTGCTTCCATACACATAATGATACCAAGCTGTGGAGAGTCATTGTGGGTAAGGAGAGGAGGGGAAGGGGTCCCCAACCACAGAGGATTCAGGCTCTTGGTTCCACACTCCCTTTCTCTCCCAGAACTCCTATTGCCCCTCAGGGATATAGGAGCTGGGCTCCTCAACATGCTACCCCATATTCCTAGGAGATCCTAAGTTAAAGAGGGGTAGAGAGATGCAGATTGATCAGCAGTTCATTCCAGAAGAGTACGATGTTTATGCTAAGAAGAACCAAGGCATTTCTGAGTTCTATGGTAATGACATTGCTCTGCTGAAGCTGACTGAAAAGGTCAAGATGTCCAGCCATGCCAGGTACAAGAGCCAGGGGATGTCTCAAGCAGTGGAAGGAAGGGACAAAGCCCTTGGGCAGGCTTCTCCTGATACCTCTCTTTTTCCCCAGACCCATCTGTCTTCCCTGTACTGTGGGGGCCAACCTGGCCCTGCGGCGTTCACCAGCCAGTACCTGTTTTGACCATGGTATTGTGGGAGGCAGGGAGAATGATATCCAAGTCCCAGGGGATAGCAGGGGGCTATCGATGAACAGATAGAAAAGGGACTGGGGAAGAATCAGCAGGAGGTGGGGGTTGGGAGAAATGAGGCAGAGGATATGCACAGATGCCTGTGGTCCAGTATGAGGGGCAGTGTGGAGATGGTACCTTTCTCTCTGGCTCACAGAGAATGTATTTTTGAAGAAAAAAGAAATCCCTGCTCATTTTGTCTCATTGGATGATCAGATAATGGACATTGTTCTCAAGGAAGAAAATGAGGTGAGGACCCAGAAGGAGGTCTGGCAAGGTGAGAAGTGATAGGTGAAGAGAAGGGGGCAGGAGGAGGCAAAGCTATTCTTCAGACTGATCTCCCTACAGGGTAGACCTAGATATATGCTCTTGAAACTTGACCCCATCTCCTTTGTCCTCGTAGTCTTACCCTTTTCCTCAAGGGTCATTGGAGGCACAGTATAGAAAAATGGGAAGATTGCTCATTGAATTTGGAGATTTAACTCCATTATTTAAGATGTGGATTGGAATCCTAGTTCTAGTACTGGGCAACCTTGGAAAAGTCACTTAAAACTCTGGCCTTCTCAGTCTCCTCATTTGTTAAAAAGTGGGGGGAGGTGGGATTAGACTCTAATGTCCCTTCCAGCTTAAAATCTTTGGATTCTATGAGGCTTTGCAGTCTATCTCCCTAACATTCCTTCTCTTTACCCCCTCTGACTGCCTCCCCCCCCCCACATCCTAGCGGGCACTGTGCATCCAAGCTGTCTCTCAAGCTAAAAACCTTTTCCCTAATCTCACCGATGTGAAAGAAGTAGTGACTGACCAATTTCTGTGTAGTGGTGCTGGAAATGAGGCATCCCCTTGCAAGGGTGAGTGTGGAGGACCATAAGGTACCTGGGAAATGAGTGAGTCAGAGTTGGTGGAGGCAGAAGACTGGTGCTTTTGGTCAGGGCTAATTATGCCAATGCTTAGCCCATGTCTTGCCCAAGGTCATGGAATGGTGGTGACTGGGGTGAAAGGGGAAAGCTGCATGGGAGCTGGGTTGATGATACCTCTTTTCTTTCTTCCCATTCTTGGCAGGAGAATCTGGAGGGGCAGTTTTCCTTCAGAAGAAATACAGGTATTTTCAGGTGAGGAGACTAGGAGCTAACTGGGTTTGACTCAGGCAGAGATTATAGAATCTCTGGTAGAAAGTGGGATAGGGACACTAGGTTACACGGAAAGCTTTGAGGAATGGGTAGGGGTTGGGTTATCTCACCAAATTTTCTTCTTTTCCTTATTTAGGTGGGGGTGGTGAGCTGGGGTCTATATAATCCATGTTCCTCAAAGACAACAAATCATGCCCTGAAGACAACAGACCAAAATGAGGTGAAACGCCAGCCACCCCCAGCTGACCGTGAAGCCCGAGATTTCCACATCAGCGTCTTTCGGCTTCAGCCCTGGCTGAGGCAACATCTGAAAAATGTCTTACGTTTTCTGCCCCTTGGGCCAGCCTCCTGAATCCTGACCTTCCTAGTGTCCAGCTACTGACCTTCAAGTCTTGTCTCTTTGATCTCAGCCTGCCCTTTGTAGCAGGGACCTGCCTGGCCTCTAGCCCTAGTTATCCTAATATTTGAGTTCTTTACATAGCCCTTCTCTTTCTACCGTATCACACTTCCATTCCCTCTCCCCTCTTCCCCAACTTTACTTTTCGTTTCTATTTTCTGCCCCTTCTAGGCATGCCTGGATTTTCCCAATTGTGAAATTAATAAATTTTTGAGATTTCACCATACTCCCAAACACTGTTCATCTGTCTATGGGGCAGGGTTAGGTTCTGGCTAGAGAAAGTGGGTGGTGGTGGGGGAAACCACTGAAAAGATTCCAGGAATTAGGAGAGGGCAAGAGGTCAGAGACCTTGATAGGCAAATAGTCTATGGACTCTGTCCCCATTACACAGACCAGGGAGGGAGAGCTCAGGGCTGTCAGGGGAGGGTAGCTGGCTTTACTCCCTGATCATTATGAGGAGCAGGAAAGAGGACCTGGGGTTTGGTAAGGGCTGAGGGCCAGGAAATTTGAAACTCTGAATTCCTGACTCCTGGACAGTAAAGTAAAGTGTGGGACTGATTTCCTTGGCTGCCTATGAATAGGGCCTTAATGTAAATACACACACAATTCCCCTTGGGCATTACCGAAAGTGATGCTGGGGGGCGGGGCAGGCTACAGGTGCCAGAAGAGATTGCATAAAGGGAAGTGGGGGTGGTGATAAAGGGAGAGCAGGAACAATCTAGTTAGGGATTAGAGTTTGGACTTGGACATAGAGTTTTGGCCCCTGGTAGATTCAGAGAGAGACAAACTCAACTTCTTCCTTACTCCCAGGACCCTCTCCCCTCAATTGCCCTGTTCATCAACTCCCAATTTCCCTCACCTAGATAGTTAGCAAGAGGGGGACATATATGTGGCCTCTGTTCCCATCACCATGAAGAAGACACTGTGTTCCTGGTTCTGTATTCTTCCTCTGTTCCTAGGACTTGTGCCTACAGGTAAGTTAGTTGCCCTCTCTCCCATTGGGTCACCATTGGAGCAGAGCAGCTGAAGCACCTTGCCTTTCAAACCCTCCTAGACACTTGTCTCCTGCTGTCTGAATCTCTGGCATTGTCACTGAACTGAATTAAAATCCTACCACTTTCATGTACTAGCTCTATTTTTTTTTTCTGTGCTCCAGTTTTCTCAGCTCTAAGATGAGGGGATTTGAAAATCCTATGATCCTTTCTCTCTAGGTGTGAGCTCGGCACCATCTGAAGCTTCTACTACCCAGCCCTGTCCTCTGGAAGGAATAGAGATCTTAGGTGGCTCTTTTAAACTCCTCAAGGATGGACAGTTTCTGGAGTACGTGTGCCCATCTGGCTACTATCCATATCCTGTGAAGGTGCGAAGTTGTAAGCCATGGGGATCCTGGAGCACCCTACAGACACGAAATAAGAAGATAGTTAAAAAAGCTGAGTGCAAGGGTAAGGAGAGCTTGGGTGACAGATGGAAGGGCTAGGGGTTAAGGTTAGGACTGAGGGTAGAGTTAGGGCTGAGTTTAGGACTGAGGTTAGATTGGGGTCTGTGGTTATAGTTAGGCTTAAAGTTTGGTTAAGTTTGGTAGTATTAGGTTTAAGATGAGGTTTGTCAATAGGCTGGCATTATTGTTTAGGATGTATTGTTTGGGATTGGGTGTGAACTAGAGTCAGGGTTACACTTGAGTACCAGGTTAGGGAAAGGCCTGGAGCATATGCTTTGATTAGCAGGACACAGGGAGTTGGGTTAGGAAACTGGAGGTAGCATGCTTTGGAATCCTAATAGCAGTCCTAATCTCATCCCTGATAGTAACCCTGATTTTCACCTCAGAGCACAAGACTTAAAGTCAATAGACCTGGGTTTAAATACTGCCTCCAAACTAACTAGCTGTGTGAGCCTGGGCAAAGTCAGTTTCTTCAACTGTAAAGCTAGATACTTGGCAATACCTATATCACAGAGTTTTTGTGAGGAAACCACTTTGCAAATCTTAGATTCCTATGTAGTTAGGAATTATCATGGCTTGCTTATCTTTTTAAGCTACTATAATAATTATTGTTAATTAAGGATCGGGGTTGAATTGATGTTGTAGGAGATCTGTAGACATGTCTATAGTAGTCAGAGGAAGATTCTATTCTTGAGACAGGGACTGAAAAATCAAAGAGATCTGGTTTGAGAATTTCTCTCTCCCTTCCTACTCCCTGGCTTCTTCCTTTCCCTCCCTCTATTCCTAAAGCAATCCAGTGCCCAGGCCCTGAGGACTTTGAGAATGGTGACTTCTGGCCACGAAAACGCTTCTACAATATAAGTGATCAGATCTTTTTCCAGTGCTATGATGGGTATACCTTACGTGGCTCTGACAATCGTATCTGCCAGTCCTCTGGCCGCTGGGATGGATTTACAGCTATCTGTGATGCGGGTGGTGAGTTCTCGCCTCCACAAAACTGCCCCTCCTAGTTCCCCAGTTCCCTTGGTGCTGGGATGGATCTCCTTGTCCCAAACATGTGGGCTCAGCCTTGTTTCCCCCTGTCACAGGCTTGAGACCATATCTCATTGAATTCCTACAGTGGGGCACTGCCGAGACCCTGGCATCCCCATCGGTACAAGGAAGGCAGGCAGACAATACCGACTGGAGGATAGTGTCACCTACCACTGTGGCCAAGGGCTCACCTTACAGGGTTCCCAGAGGCGTACCTGCATGGAGGATGGATCCTGGAGTGGCACAGAACCCTCTTGCCAAGGTGCCTCCTAAACCCTGCCTCATCTAACTCTGGCCCTGAGTGTGATCTGGCCCTTGCCTTAGAATTCCCTTGTACAGGCCATATTATTTATAGACCTGAACCATCTATACTAGGGGTGGGGGAACCTGTGGCCTCAAGGCCACATGTGGCCCTCTAGGTCCTCAAGTGAGGCCCTTTGACTGAATCCGAACTTCATAGAACAAAAGAAGATTTGTTAAAGGGCTGCACTTGAGGACCTAGAGGGCATTATGTGGCCTGGAGGCTGTAGGTTCCCCGCCCTTGACCTATACCCATTCCTGTTCTTGATCCAAAATAAACTTTGCCATTCTTAATCCCCTATCCTGATTTGCTCCTCCCCCTCCAAATCCCTCTAACAATTTCTCTTACTTCCACAATTTCCCCTCCTCCCTCAACTCCTTGCATATGGTCACTCCCATATTTCTTTACCATTCTTGACCCCAAAGACTCCTTCATGTATGATACCTCAGAGGAGGTGTTTGCTGCCTTCATCTCCTCTCTGACAGAGATGGTCGAAGGGGCTGATGCAGAAGATGGTCACAGCCCAGGTATGTGCT